CGAGTCCGATTAGTACAAATCCGCGAAATGAGTTAATTGGTTCAGATAACCATGTCTTATATAGTGACAAAACATCAGTAGGAATACTGAAGAAGTAAATGGTCGAGATAGTCGATAGAAATATAATAATCTTCATTAAAGAATTGAGCAATCATTAGCCAGAGGTGTGACGTGCTATGTGGTGTTACTGGCCACAAGAAATGTATCCGCCCTACTCTTAGTATTCAAATGGCGGGGAGTCAAGTTGTCGTTCAACAATCAAAGAACACTCCAACTAAAAAGGAGGAGGTGCCAAAAGCTAAAAGATATGTAGGTCCGAAAGCACGAATTAGAGATTCGTGGTGCTATTCTTTCTGTTCCAAAGCATCTACGTGTTGATCAAACTCTTTTCATTTTCTTTATTCTATCAGCTCGATTTATTCAATTTGATTCTAATACAAGAGTTTGGATCGTTATGTGTCTTGTGCGAGATAAAATCAAAGGTCATTACAATATGACCATTCGAGTTGTTGTTATAGCAAAAGTAAAGACCTTATCTTGGGTTTAGTTTATAAACCAAGAAGGAGCAGCAGTCTACAATGAGAATTGATTTTTAACTCAAAGATTAGGATCGAATGTTCAATAAAGAATGAATAGCGGGTGCAAATTTGAACACTACCAGTAATTAGGAAGTTTGAAGAATTTGACAATCGTTTGTCAAACTAAAAGTTAAATATCGTACATTTAGATTACCACAAAGGAAGTAAGTTAAAACTCGAATGTTGTGACTAGTAATTTTCTCGTGAACTCTAGATCTGCTCACATCTTATTTGATTTCAATGCCTCAGATTCTTTCGTTCCTTATAAATTTGTATATTCTTTTCAAATTATTTGTTACGCAGTTGTCCAATCATTTCATATAGATAACATAGGAAATATATCATTACTTGCTGATAAAGCCTATAGAGTTAGTGTTATAGGAATTGAAAGTTATAATCTTCCTGCTAACCTAATTCCTATCTTTGATATTATTCTCGACATGGATTGGTTGTTAATGAACCATGCAAAGCTCTTGTTCTAGAAAGAGATGATATGCATCTCTATCGAAAGGGAAGATCCTATTTATGTCTATGGTGAAAGTAATAAATTTCTTTCTTAAAAACTTGTAAATTATGTGGAAGAGATATTCTACTTATCCGGCTTATATAGTTAATACCTTGAAAGATGAGAAGAAAACTGTGAATGATAACCTTTGGATAATTGTCGACAACCTGACTACGAGTGCATATTTTCTCGCCATACGTACAACGGTTCTAATGGAGAAATAAGCACAAGTTTACTTAGACGAAATTGTGGCAAGACATGATGCGCCACTAAAGATTATTTCCGATTGTGATACTCGTTTCACTTCTCACTTTTGGGTGAGAATGAAGCATGAGTTAGGATCTCGAGTTGCTCTTAGTACAACTTATCATCCTCAGACAAATGATCAAAAGAAGAGAGCAATCTAAATAGTAGAAAATATACTAAAGGTATATAAAGTACTGTATGAGTGTAAATGTCATACTCAAATATGTTGGCGTGACATAGGACAGAAGATCTTTGGAGGATTCGAAATGATTCAAGACATCACAAACAAGATACAAATTTTCCGAGAAAGAGTGCAAGCCGACTAGGATCGACAAATGTCCTATGCAGAAAAGAGGATACGACCCATAGAATTTTGGGTTGGTGATTTAGTAATACTGAAGGTATTTCATGAGAAGACGTTATACTACTTTGGAAGAAAGAACGGTTGGTAAGCAAGCATACTGCTTGGAATTGCCTGAAGATTTGACAGATATTCATGAAGTGTTTCATGTGAACTATCTATGTAAAGGTTTAAGCATATATGATGAAATGGTTCTATTATCAGAGGTGAAACTAGATAATAAGTTAAGTAGAAGAGATCGTAACTGAAAAACCGACTAATCTACATAATAAAGAAGTAGAGTTGGTGATTTTCATGTTAAAACACCATCTAGGCTCAAATTATACTTGGGAAAAGTAAGAATGAAATAAGAGTGAAGTATCCCTAATAGTTTTAATCATTATGATTTTGGGGACGAAATCCTCAAAAGGAGGAGGTATTTGTAACATACATATTCTGAAATTGTGTATTGTTATTATTAAAAGTGAATAAAATTTAGTGTTGAGTCCTAACAGATAGTTTTTACTAGAAATGAAGTAAAACTATGTTTAGAATCACTCATAAAATATTGGAAGTCTTATGAGATTCCAATTAATAGCCAAATAATGAAACTTTAGCGAAAATATAAAATTTGAAATAAGTAAAATTTTATTATTGAAAGTTGTATATAATCTCGTTAGAAACATTTAGGCGAAAACCTCATCGAAATCCGAGTTATAACGAAGAAGTTATGATTAATCGAAGATCCGTGACAAAACCGGCACAACGCCGAATGATGTAAAAAGTGAGTTTTTGATAAAATACTTTTTAGCCTTAGTAATTTAAATGAAAGTTTTACTATTCGTTAAACCGAGAAGTTCGATAAAAATAACGCCAAAATCTAACTTCGTATGAGTAAGTTATAATTTTTCGAAGTTTCAGCTTAGCAGTAGACAGCTAAAAACTCGAATTTTAGATCGAGTGATTTTTAGCCGACACAACCTAAACGAAAATTGAAGGTCTCGTCATTCGTAGTACAACGGTAAAAAGTCTGACGAAAACAAATATCAGATGAAGAAGTTATGAGTTTTTAACGGATTATCCTGTCCCGGTCTGGTAAAAATAATAATATAAAAATTAAATTCAAAATTAGCTGACAAGGTCTAAACGAAAGTTGTAGAGCGTAATTGTAGCTATGTGTGTATATAAAGAATGTCAAAAACGGAGTTCGTATGCGAAAGTTATGAATTTCGGAAGATTTTGGCTCAAAAATCGAGAAATTATGGATAAGACCCGGGGAATCTCGCATGGACAGTAGCCGCTCTACCCGGGTCCGACACGTGCAGCCTTCCTATTGAACCGAACTGCGGACCAGTGTGCGTCCGACGCACCTCGCACAGGTGTTCGATATCACTGAGTCATCCGAATCGTGGCAAGTCCGGAGTCCGACGCGTGTTTGGTCCGGAGTCTGAAGCGCCAGCTGCCCCCTTCGCGTGTCCGAGCTTCGCTTGAGTCGCGTGTCTTCCTCCCTCGCTGCCACCTAGTTGCTGCTGCTGATGCGCCCTTCTGATCCGGCCTCACATCTCACCCTATAAATACATGAGTTGTGAGACTTGCCGAGTAAAAATGGATTTTTGCCATTTTTCACCCCTCTTACCATATTTTTATTATTTTGACTTCCCCCGAATCCCCGGTATTAGTTTTAAAGCCCAGAATACGTCCCGAAGTGCCCGGAGATCCCGAGAAATTATTCTTTTCGATTTGAAGTTCTACTCTCAAGGCCTATTTTTCAATATATTTCCCAATTTTCAACGAGCGAAAGCTATTTATCGAGCTGAAGTGCTGCTCAAATTACTATTTTAACCCCCAATTATTTTAAGGTGAGTTCAATATATAGGAACAATTGTATGTTATGTGTTATATGTGCTATGTGCTTCTCAGTGTTATTATTCCGAGTTATTTTTCCGTTTTATTTTTATTCTACTATTTTGATAACAAAAGTAATACCTTTGACCATGTGATCAGTGGAAAGACTTAGATTCACATTGGTAATGGTAGGAAGCCTCTGGCCATGTAGAGCATGTTCCCTGTAAGTGAATGAATTATATTTAAATGGCATTGACAGAAGATTAAACAGGGCGTGAAAACCTGAAGTCTACCGAAATGCTAATCAGGGCGTGAAAACCTGAAATCTACTAAAATGTTAAACAGGGCGTGAAAACCTAAAATCTACCGAAATGCTAATCAGGGCGTGAAAACCGGAAATCTATTATATTGATAATAAGAAATTATATGTCTTCTGTGCCATTTGGGCCAAAGCTTTATTGATGCATATCAAGTATTGAAATTGTTATGTCTCATTGATCGTAAATCTTTGAATCAAATCTTGAGTTGATATTGAAAGCGTGACATATGATACTCATATGTTATTGTTGTTCTTGTTCCCTTTTGCTTCTATCATATTGGTATATGTAAGGCATAAGATTATATTGTATCTATTTATTGAATTCACTAAGCGTTATCGCTTATTCCCTCAATGTTTAACAATTCCAGGTGATGAGTATCCAATATAGTTTTATACTGCTGAAAGATTTAGAATAGTTAATACTATTTCTCTGTATTTTAATGTTCATGTATGTATATGAATAGTTGATTCCTGGGTAAACATGAAATGTAATAAAACTTAGTCGGTTTGTATCCAATCCTTTGTAATCACTTTATCAATATAAAATATTGTTTTATAAATATGCATGTAGCATGTTTTGAGGAAGTAACTTTAGAATAATATTACAATAGTATGAAAATTTGGGTCTTTCAGAAATTACAAACGTTGGGGTCTTTCAACCACACATCGACTCGCTCCTATTTCAGATTTAGGGGAGTTATTTATATACATATATCTCATCGGCTTTTCAATAGTTTCGTCATTTCATGAAGGCTTAGTCATTTTACTCTTCTTCAGTCATTTCACGATGATTCCGTCATTTTTCAATAATTCGACACAAAGTCATGCTATTCGATTAACCTTTTGCTTTAGATTGTGTTTAATTTCTGGAAATTTGTTGCATTGTGCTTAAATAGAAACCTAGGGTTCTTACAAATTTTGATTTATGATCAATTTCACATGAGTTTGTTGTTCGATAATGCTTGAATTAGACCGATTAAACCCTTATAACACACCTTTAGACTAATTACAACCTAGAACACGTCGAACAACTAAAATATTTGTGCATCTGGACGTACGCAAAGCATATGTTGGACGTATGCCCAACACAAGCTTTTCAATTTAAAATTTGTCTAATGTTGTGGTTATTTTGTTGGTTTTGTGTTTGGTGCTTATTTTTTGCATATTATGGCTCGAAGATTTCCAAGAAGAAACCAACCTGAGGACATACTCGATCACCACTTCTTACAAGTCCTACAAAACATGAACGATGAAACTCGCAGTAGATATTTGAACAAGCTTAGTTTACTGCTCACCAAAGAATTCGACAGCGTGCCTTCATTTGACTGGGGATTGACGTCACAAATTGGACTGGATGAACTTACCCGGAATTTTTTGCAATATACCTACTTGGACACGAGTGGGGTCTATTTTTTTGTATGTAAAGGTTGGGACAGACTGTTCAAGATACAGGAACCTATTTATCAGGAGTTTTTTTTTTTGGAGTTCCATTTTACAGTTTCCTTCGACCCTAGGGATACCCCCAATGACATAACAACTTTTTCCTTTCAACTTGGTGGGCTGAGCAGGGAGTGTAGTGCGATTAAGCTTTCCATTAGAGTGGGGATTTATACTACGGATGAAATGAAGAGTGTCCACTTTTCGACATTGCTTGTTGATTGCGTTAGGAGACGACCTGCTGACTATAATGAAAATACATTTTGGGCTGAGATTAATGGGAGACTGTACACACCATCCACTGCTCGAGGGAAGATCATTCGGTCCACCACTTCCAGATTATTACATCGCCTGATTTCCATATCTCTCACGCATTATAAGAATAGTGAGAGAGTGCCTTCTACATATTTGTTTTTCCTATAGACCCTTGTTACACCAGGGAGCCGCCGGAACCTCCTAAGTTGCGTTAGCTGCTTAGATAGGGAAGAGGATCAAGGGGATTCGTGAGGATAGCCCAATTTGTGGTGGGCACTTCATCATGCGTTTAGCTCGATCAATTCAGTTCTTAACGAGAGATGTCATTAGATCTACGGTGTTTTATGACTCGAGGCCTTGAGTTTACAGTTATTGGAGTCAAAGTGAGTACTTGTGCAGGGTGAGGATGGTATATTATGGATGCAACCACATGACGTGGCCGATAAGGATGTTGTAGCTGAGCCAGAGCCTGAGAGACGGGGGAGGCATAGACCTGCTCCATGAGCAGCCCATCAGGGACCACAGCAGGAGATTGATCTTTGTTACTTATCTCAATGCATGGATACTCCTTCTCTACATGTGGATGATCGGTTTGATCATGTCGAGACTAGGATGTAGTGGTTTGAGGGGGAATTGACATGATTCTTTGCTTCATATGGGTATCATTATTCAGTTCCCTTTCCTCCACCATATAGCCAGAGGCGTGATAGAGCAGGCACATCAGGGAGGTTTGAAGGGGACTTGACATGATTCTTTGCTTCACGACGACGAGGATGATGATGAGTAACAGAGTTATCCTGTTTATTTTTGTTTTATTTTTGTTATTAGTCTTACTTTTATTTTTATTTTGGTGTGCCTTAATTTGTTTAAAATAGGAAGTTTGTTTTATTTTTGGTTTATGTAATTGTGTTTTCCATGTTGATGCTCTTTGATTGTTTTAGATCTTTGCAAAATTTTCTCCTTTAGAAAGTTGATAGTAAGTTCAGCTGCTAGGACCGACTGTTGTTTTTGTTGGAATAGTGTCTAAGGCTGCAACTATATAAGGCAAGTATTTGACCCGATTGTGCATGGTCCTTTTGGGTTGCCTTCACCATAGCAACCTGACAGGATGATTTATTATGAGAGAATAGATATTATTAATATATTATGAGAATAATATAAGAAATAATAATATTGTTATTTTATGAATATAAGTCATAGATTAATTAGTATTAATTTTGTGACTTAAAGAGATTAATTAAATAAGAGGGTATAAACTATCAATTGTTTGATAGTTACACTTTGGGCTGTAAATCCTTCATGGATAGGGTTGGACGATTTCTAGGGCTTGGGATAAGCCACAAATCATCCAAGGGCTTATCTTGGAAAGGATTTGGATTGCTTTGAGTAAAAGTTATCCAATTAGGGTTTAAGGGTGAAACCCTAGGAGCCTTACAAGTATAAATAGACCCTTGGGGCAAGGGAAATCAGCACCTCGGCAAAAGCAAAGAAACCCTGGACAATTTCTTCCATCTCCTCTCTCCTAAATCATCCTCTTGCTAGTTGGTGTTTGTAAGCCATTAGAGGAGTGACAATTGTGACTCTAGAGCTCCTAGAACAAGAAGATCAAACAAGTGGTTCAAAGTAAGCTTCTATGTCTGATTTTGTATTGTTCTTATACCTTATTAGTCATTAGAAGTCTTGGATTCAATGCATGTTTAATTAGAGAAACCTAGATCCAAGCATTAGGGTTTGCATGTGCACATAGGAATGTTCATATGGCGAAAACCCATCAGTGGTATCAGCGCCTAGATTGGTTTCTATTAAATTGATGCATGATTGTTTGTTTCTTGCTTGCAAAATTCGAATTTTGTGATTTTGAGTCATGGACTCAGCGATTCCCATGGTGGACTCGGCGAGTTGGCCTGACTCGGCGAGTCCAGTTGGGCACTCGGCGAGTCCGAGCGTCAGGAAGAGCTAAAATCGGGATTTTTTTTGATATTTATCTTATGGAAACTTGCCTTTATCATATTAGATCAACCCTAATCCAATTTTTTGATACATATGACTATAATCTTGATCTAATTAAAGATATTTATCAATTAATAAAATATTTAATTTCCTTATGTGATAATTAATTAATTATTTCGATTAAATTGGTAAATTATCTTGCAAGAAATCATTAAATAAATCAAATATGGATAATTATGGAATTAATTGTTAATTAAGATTATTTGTTATTTGATCCTTTATGTTTTAAATGTTTAAAACTTTCCCTCACGTTTTGAAATTTATGTTTTCTGATTAAAAGTTTAATTTAGACAATTTAAATTTCAAACCCTAGAATTTTACAAGTTTAAAATCTAACCCTATACTAATATAATATCACAAGATTTATATATATATATATATATATATATATATATATATATATATATATATATATATATATATATATATATATATATATATATATATATATATATATGTATGTATAATTAAAATGCTAGTGTTACCGTTAGTAGGCCTCATTCACGAAGCCGGTCTATAAGGTAGGTATAAGGTTGTTGCCTATAAAATGGCGCTTAATGGGTGTAGAATCACACCTACCGCTTGCTTGATCGGTGGAGGGTCATTAGCCGAACGGGTAGGATAGGGCAACCTCATCCTCTCATTAAAAGTATAATATGAAATACAAAGTAACTACATTTTTTCAAATTTCCCAATCTTAGTTACTTTAGGAAAAGTGAATTGATGCAATACCATGAAGTTACAATTTGCACCCTTGCTAAGAAGTTAGTGGAGCGTGTGTGGTTTACCGGCACACAAATTGGTTCTAAGAAAAGGTGGCAAAGGGTGATTCATTATTTATCATAGTTCGATGGAGCGTGTGTGGTTTACCGGCACATCGAATAGGTGATCGTTACAATGAAGGCACCATGTGAATTTACATGGTAATTCACACCCGCGTTGTGATCCTCGGTATCCCATTCAAAAACAAGACGGGCATATCGAGATTTAAACATGCCATTGAAAAGTTTCAATAAATCTCATCTAAACCTAGCAATTCTCAATACATTTAGAACTTAAAGTTATGTATTGTGGTGGAGAATTAGTGAATCGTCATTCACTTACCTTCAAATTGTTTGCATGTTAGATTATGACATCCCTTTTCTAATATGTAAATATTGTTGTTGGATCCTAGCGCTAATTTTCTTATTGGGTGATAATTAGGGATTCATATTCTAATCTATCTTTGTCCTTTCTATTTGTAGATGTCAAGCGCAAACAACGTTGCTGCTAGTTCATTCACATTGATGAGCCTTTGTCAAAAGGTCACTTTCGATGGGACGAACTTTAGCGAGTGGATAAGATACATTCGCACTATTGCTCGCTATGAGGACAAGGAGTATGTCCTCGAAGAGAAGCTCGAGAAAATCAACCCTGAAATCGCTACTCCGGCTGAAATGACCGCTTTTGAAACTCACGAGCATGATGCAACGAAGGTACATTACATCATGATAGCCACTATGAACTCCGAATTCCAAAAGTCCTATGAGGATATGTACCCGTACGAGATGCACCAAGACTTGTTGGAGAGATACCACCAAAACACGAGACAAGAGCGTTATGAGATTTTCACTAACATGATTTCCGCTAAGATGGGTCATGGAGAGTCTCTTACCGTGCACCTGTTGGATTAATGTCTAAGTCCATAACTATAATTGGTAAGACTTGACCCGACCTGGCATGGTCCATTTGGGTTGCATACCATCATGCACTTGGATAGACTATAATGAGAGAAATAAGACACTTATGGTTATTAATATATTATAAGTTCTAGTATATTAATAATAAGAATAATAAGATTATTTAATTAGTATTGATCAAGAATTAATCTAGGATTAATTAAGTGATCAAAAGAAGACTAATTAAATATATGGGTTGATTGTGTAAATCATCCATACTTATATAGTGGGCTAATGCTCCATGGATAATCAAGTTGGACTAAAACCTATAGGATGGTCCATGGGTGCTCCATGGTGTATTTGAACCCATGGATCCAAGGAAATGGAAAGCCATGACAATTAAGGATTTACCCTAATTGTAACACTATATAATGATATTATTCTTGACAAAAAATCGGCCACTAGAGAGTGTAACAAAGGGCTAGCCGATTTCATGAAGTGTAGGGACTCTCTCAAGTTATTCTAAGAGTTTTGATGATTGTGATTCCATTTGAGGCTTCCACACTATTGGGGCTAGGCACTCAAGCTTCATGAAGACTTTCTACATCAAAGAGGTATGTATTCTATCTTGTTATATTCATGTTTTGTATGATAGATTAGGATAATACCTTGGATATTCTTATTTGCATGTATAATAGAGAAAACATAGATCCAAGGTATTTAGGGTTGCATGTACACTTAGGAGTGTTAGAATGCTCAAAACCCAACAGTGGTATCAGAGCCTAGGCTTGTTTTCTTGTTATACTTGCAAATGGAGCTGAAAAATCGAGTTTTGATGCTGTCAGCCCAGCAGACTCGCCGAGTCCATGAAGGGACTCGACGAGTCCAAGGCAAAATGCATCCAACTCGCCGAGTTTTGTTCATGCACTCGACGAGTTGGACCCCAGACAGCATATTTTCGAGGTTTTTGGCTAGAAATGGACTAGGAACATTACCCTAAGTTGTTTTTGAACTTATAAACTTGTTTTTTAATGTGGTAATGTTCATGCTAATCCATTTTCAAAGATAATTGTCAATAGATTCATGTTTTGTATTAGTTTAAGGTTTAGACTAATTACATGAAGAAGTTTGATATGAATTATCTTGTTCTTATGAGTTGCTTAGATTAATAGAAAAGTTAATTGAAATAGTTGTTTTCAATCCATTTTAATCTAAGAGTTGAGTATAAAATGTGTTTGTGTAACTTGTCCTCAAGTTACATGAAGAGTCACATTAAAGACTCATAAAACTCATAAAAGTTGGTAATGGTTACAAAATGAAGAGTCTTGTGTCATTGAATTTTTTTTTATGACTCCATAACTTGTCCTCAAGTTATGGAAATTCAAGAGTCACTTCATTAATAAATAAATAAATAAATAAATAAAGTGTAACCTTAATTAATTCCATAAGTTATAAAAATAAAGAAAAGTTAATTCTTTTATTTGTTTAAAGTCTTCCATA